TCATTTAACGCGATTGAGTTATCAGAGCCCACAGTCATCATGGTGGTTTAAAGCCATCTAGCGGCCATTTTGAATTTTTGAACTTAATGTTTATTCTATCCTTCCTCAAACTATAAGATTAGATTTTTCTTTATACAGTCGACTCTCGATAATTTGAAGTTGAAGGGACCAATGAAAAACTCCGAATTGTCAAGAGTTCAAATTATCAAGAGAGCAGGAAAAAATTCTTTCTTAACCTCTCGAGCAGGACTCTTTCACGTCCCTTCCAAATCTCTTCCATTCCTCATTGGAAATAAAATAGATTCGCACTCGGCTCCCTCAAACACAGTCCCCCGAACCATTGGTTCTTCAAGGCAGGGTTCAGTCCAGCTTATATCCTATTTGGTGCCACATGCTATAAGTCACACAGATGAGTCATAAATCGTCATGTCAATCCGACGCAAAATACACAATCCTACGCATCTCTTCTTCACGATATAGCAGACCATCCTTTCTGACACACGCGCAGCAAGGCCACTTGTTAACCGAAAGATATGGATGGCTGACAATAGGTGCGGTCCGTCTATAGTCCACTTATAGAAGGAAAGCAATAAAAGTGTCTTTTTGCCTGAGGGAACGAGAAACACAAAGAAAGGATGGCTGGCAGGTGGTCAACAAGGTACTACGATACAGGGAAGACACGTAAAGTCAATCCAACACAAAACCCGTGTTGGACCTGTTTGCTACAGGACTCTACATGATAATGAGTATTCGAAATGTCGAGGGTTAAATGAGATATTTTCGAATTATTGCATGTTGTTATCTGGCCAGCCGCAGATTTTACTTCGAAGTATTGAGTGTACCAAAACGTATTGTTTTAGTTCGAAATAGCAAGAGTTTTTCTAGGGACTGGGCATATACTTCGAATTATGGAAAGGTTCGTATTATCGAAGGTATAAATTAACGAGAGTTGACTGCATTTGTAAAAATATTCATAAATGTTTCTTAAATATTCTTAAAAATTGAACATTAAATTAGACGAAATACAAGGCCTGTTAAAAAAATATACGTCTTTGAATTTTCCCGAGCACAGTTTAGATTCTAAAACGGTGCTACTGTGCACAGTGGGAAGTGACAGCTTATTGCACGTGCTTAAATTTTTCCTCTTTGTTCCAGTGTACCAGTTGTTTCCTGCAGGCAGTTGAGTGAGATGCTGTGATTCGTATTCTTCGGATTTTCATTTAATGCGGAGGTATTGCATCAAATTTTTTATCTAAAGTTTGGTGATTTTTCCAAGTGAAACTATTCGTAAAATTCAACAAGTGTTTGGAAACGATGCTATGGGGGTCACATAAATTTAGGAGAGTTTTAACAAATACAAAAGTGACCATACGTCTATAGAGAGTGACCAATGTTCTCTGAGCCACAAACCGCTGGAAATGCAGCTGTTGTTGAAAAGTTAGTAAATCTGGTTATGAAAGATCGTCGTTTAACCGCAAGAGACACTGCTGAACAAGTTAAAATCAGTACAGGTTCTCCACATGCAATCTTGTGTGATCATGCGCAGATCAGCAGCGAAATTTGTCCCCAAGCTTCTGTCGATGGAACAGAAAGGACTCCGTCTTGCAGTTGTACAAGACCTGCAGTACACTATCAACGTTGAACCTGCATTCTTTCGACTTCTGGCTTTTCCCGAAAATGAAAATGGCATAGAAAGGATCCCGTTTTCAGACAAGAGATGAAATAAGGCAAAACGTGACGGCGGATTTGGACATCATTCCAAAAAATGCCTCAGAAGTCGGTTATGGAAGGATTGATGGGATAAGTGTGTGAAGGCGAAAAGGGCCTACTTTGATTTTGATTAGATCCTAATGCCGCAAAGTAATTACGATATTTTTTCTGGCGAAAGTTCGGATACCTATTAAACAAATCTTGTATATTTATGCTAAAATTTAGGAGGAAAATGTAATTTCAAAGACCTATCATCTCTTCCTCTTTCATCGCATTTAAGATATCCGACTATCCTAAAATTATGAGGTTCGCCAAAAATTGACAAATTTCTTTTATGATTTTATTTAATAAACCATCTTGTTAGCTTGAAAAAAAAAACAAGTTTATTATTTTCCGTTCACTAGAACAAAAACTACAAGTGTTTTAGTAAAAGCAAATGTTACTACTTTAAGCAAGATACCATACTTTAAAACGCGTTTTACTCGAAGTGTGTTTGTTTGAAAAAGCTCAAACGGAGACAGCGATTGCTGAAAAGGTTTTGAAAATAATGAACTGAAATTTTTTGTGTATGTTCTGTATAATAGTGGAAGGGTTTTCACCCTCAGATTTATCAATCACTGTTTTATTACAAAAGTAATCACTGTTATTTTAAGCAATTTCATATAAATAACTAAGAAAAAGTGCTCTAGCTTTTGTGAAAATTAAAATCTCTTACCCTGAAGGTCATTTCAAAAATGAATAATTTAGTAACACATCAGAATTGAAAAATTGTTCATAAGCTTTTGGTACAGAAGGGGCCCCATTTATGTTATTTTTTTGTAAATTTTTACCCATTTTGGTATAATATAATTTCTTTTTCTCTTCTTAATGTGAGCATATTTTTCTTAAAATATTGTAAATAAATCTAAAAACTACAAAAAATTCCCATATCTCCATTTTTTTAAAAAAAGTTGTCGCAAGTATTTGGATACCTTAAGCTTTTTCAGAACTAGTTTGTATGCGAGAGGAAAAGTAGAGCTTTCATAAAATTAACACTGCATTCACGGATGGGCTACATTTATGTAACATCATTAGTCACGTGATAACTGCAACACTTATTTCCAGCCAATCAGATAAAAAATGCATGTGACGTCATAGTCACGTGATAAATGTAATCGCACGTTTCCAGTCAATCAGCTCATACGCTTAGCTTTTTCTAGCTTTTGCTTTCTGCAAAAGCTTTCTTTTGAAAAGCACGTATTTGCCAACAATAATAACATCCATAGGTAAATAAAATGCACTTGATTCAAAAATACACATTTAACATTTTTAATTTCGAAAACTCTTTGAATATCTTTACCCAACTATCAAGTTTGAAATTTTACCTAAATTTTACAAGTAGAACGACTAGTACATTCGTAATATCAGTCTTGAATTCAATGGAGATCACGTGATTGTCTTTATCATGTGACCATCATGAATTGAGGCCATTTAAAATGGATGACAGTCGGGAACCTTATGGGAAAATACGAAATTTTGAAATAAAATATAGTTACGTTAAAAGTATGCCCTCTGTTATCGGTAACCTTTTTCAGAAACTCATATGGTTTAAATTTTTTCTATCTCAATAAGAGCTGAACATGTTTCAGAAGGTGGGTTGATTTTTATTTTGTAACTGATTTTATATATAATACACCTGTATCTTTTTAACACCCTTTTATAAGCTTCACTTGTATGTAACGGAATCTTTGAACTCAATTTTTACCCACTTTAAAACGTCAGATTAATTCGAAATTTTGCTCACTTGTCCAGGACCGATGACGATACAATTATTTGATAATTTTTTTCCATTGTACTGATCAAGATCATCAGGATTAACGATTTCCCATTTTCACATCCCATTTCCAGATTTGGCGACTAAAAGTATAAGTTAGAACTTACTTCGATTAACTATAAAAGGGTGTTTTTTAGTTTTTTTAAACTGTAATTTATTTACGCACTTTTTTATACGAATTTGGAATCACACTGTTCAAAGAAAAGCCTTTTTCTGGAAAACTTTTTGTTTCTAACTCGATGTCATGTCTTATAATTATACACGTGACCATGAGTGGTATAGTACAAGATGCAGTCTTTGGAGAAACAATGCAGCAAAGAAGAAAGAAAAAATTCACGTTTTTATCACACTTCAAGAATTAAACAGCATTGCTCACAGCTTTAATGTAGTAATTCCTGCCTTTGACGGATGTGAATATCTCTAGTGGCTTTGGTGACTATGTTTAAGATCGTTGTAAGCAATTGCGCTTATTATTTAATAGCTACGTATAATTATGAACTAAATATTCTTTGTTTCTCTTTTTGTTTTTGAGTTATCTATTTTTTTTTATTTCGGTTCAACAGGTTTTTTTCCCCTTCCGCTTCTTGACCTTTATGTACTTATGTATTTTCAGTTTTGGCCATCATTTAAATTGCCATGTGTATGTATCATTCGTATGTGTATCAGAACTTTTACAGTATTCATCATTTTTTTACACGGCATTTAAGCTAAATATGGTTGTTTATTTCATATTACTCGGTATTCAAATAACATGGAATGTATTCCCAATTATTCAACGCCATTGGAGGAGCATGTAAATTAATTAAAGAAAATGATCCAAATGAAAATAAAAGCATTAAAACTAGGTAAAAAATGATATTCTGCGTCACAGCATGATGCATAAAGAGAATAAAATGTTACAAAAAACTTTGTGCGATTTTCTAGTTAAAAAAAAAAAACGTATTTCTAATTTTATTTTGTAAATATTAAAAAATAAATTGTCCCGTTGTTTACTTTTCACCTTTTCATTATTTTTCATTGATTTTAGATAATAGTATAAATACCGCATTTACTTGAATCTAAGTTGAGCTATTTTTTCAGTGTTAATGTTACTGAAAATCGGGCGCGGCTTAGAATCGAAAAATTGGTTGGATGGGTGAAATTGAATTCCCACCCTTTCAAAAGGTGAAATATTACCGTCCATTCTGGCCACTAGCATCGATGACTTGTTCCATTCCGTAATTAATCTCCAGCATTAAGTCCATACTTAACATCAATGTCTGCCAGTTTATTTCAGTTACTTTTTTATTAAATAGTTACAATTAATATAAATATGTAAAAACATATGACAGAATCGCAATATTAATTGACAAAATAGAAGGAGATTTTCCATTTTCCATTCAATATATGGTGCTGGACTATTTTTGTTTGTTTTTTACTATTTATTGATCAATTAAATTTAATTATTCTATAAAATAGTATAGTAAAAAAGAAAACACATTCCCAGGTGGGATTCAAACCCACGACCTTTGGATTAGAAGTTCAAAGCGCTATCCATTGCACTACTGGAACACAACGAATGATTTTCCTTTCTAAATAAGCTGGACTATTATTTTTGTTTATTACTATTTATTTATTTTTTAATTTAATAAATGAATTAATATTTTAAAAAACTGTATTAACATCAAGTGTCATCCACAACAAATTTTGAAAAAATGTATTAGAATTTGAATGGCTGAATAGAAAGTATTTTATTAACTTTCAAAATTTGATATATATATATATTAATCGACAGATGTTGATGCATGGATTTAAAGGTATGAGCATGACTTTGTAGAGTAATCTTGATAGCTGTGGCCGGTGTTGGTATTCCAATATAGGTTGATGTCTGCATTTCATCTACCAGTGAACAGGCAGTCTCGTTCTAAATCTTACTGATCTTATTAAACACTGAACATGAACAGATAGACGTGAATCACAACGAGAAATTACACAACAAAACACTAAGCTGCAGGTGACTGCCATGATGGAAAGAAGAGAAGAAGAAAGAGAGCGGTTCCCAGGAGTCCTGTATATAGGCTAATTAAATCTCGTGATCTGTGTGTGGTGGATGGATAGGTGTAGTAAAATCCTCGTTGACGAAAAGTTGGTTAACTTACATTAAAACGTTGGATCCTAGAAGGACGATGACCAAAGGCACTAGTTAAGAATGATTAATGGGTTATTTATATATATATATATGTTTATTATATATATAGGAGATGCAGAACTATAGTTGGAATCTGAAAAGAGTATCAAACCTCATTAGATATTACAAACTTAAAACTTAGTATACAAGTCTCTTTTGTTGAGCGTTGAGTAAAGAACCGATAAAAATGATGCTTGAGGAAATTGATTGCAGTGGAGTAAAGGATAATTATTTTGTTGCAGAAATTCAAGTCCTGTTCTTTTTTAAATCAAAAACGAGGGCTATAAGGATATTTATCAGTACAATCGAAAGCTTAAAGCTAGGATAATAGGTAACAATAGACATTAGAATCTAAAAAAAATGTCTCTATAATATAAAAAAAATAATGTGTATTCTTACGATGTCATGAAATACCCAGCGAAGCGGAGGGGGAAAGGGAGGGAGAATGGTAAGCTTTCATATATGAAATAATGTTTCACTGAGTGCAGATTCACTTAGTGCTGTACTTTCGAAGAACCAATTAACAGTGCTTAGAAGTATTCCTGAACTTCGTTTATTTTCTATCAAAATTTCATCCCCTTAAATGCAATTTTTTTTGTATTCATTTAAAAATTGGAAGAGAAATCTTTATTTTTCAATTTTCCATAAGCTGTGTCTAAATACACAAATTAATTGATTTAAAAAAGTTTTTTTTTATTCTAAACTAATTCAAAAAGAACATTGAGTATAATATTGCAATAAATTCTCTAATAGGCTGCTATTTTTTACTCATCTATTTCTTAAAATAGGGTAAATTAGACGATCACTAAACAACCAACTAGCATTCTTCCTTCAATGAGCCTTCAAGATACACTTAAACCCCGATTATTATATATTATTATAAGTATCAGTCGAGTTCAATTAAGATCGATGTCAGCATTTGTTACATTTTTCTTCTTTTTTCTCTGTTAATTCTTCAAGTAGATGCGTTCAATCTACGTACTCAACAGAAAACCTTAATTACTGTCATTACAGGTAATTACAACGTTAAATTGCTTTGTATTTTATATACTGCTATTTTTCAAAATTAATGCGAATGGGCATATATAGCTGGTAACGCTTTAGATATTATCAGACTAAAAAAGATTTTGAGACAATGTTACAACTAATTGAATTTTGGAAATACTTTACTAATAACAAAAACTCGAATTATTTGTTACTAAATTATGAGTTGTAATTAGTAAGTTTTCTTTAATATGCCAACAAATATATATTAAAGGGGGGAAAGTGTTTACAAATACAACTTCTGACAATAAAACTTGATGAATGAAGTCGGAATGGCCGATCTAGCGACACTAGCAAACAAAACACTACACATGCGTAGCGGCAGTATTGACCATCTGACCCCTCCGTTGTTCAGTTGAGCGTCGTTTGTGTTCCATGTAAGACTTGTTTTACAAAGTGCTTGTTTAGTGCGTCGGTTCTTAACTGAGAGCAGAAAAATGATCAAACAAACGATCTATTTAGAGTTTGGCTTTAAGCTTGGCAAGGCACCGACAGAAACTTATTCGATGCTGGTACGTGTTTAATAAGATCAAGCACTGTCCATGAAGTGTGTGTATAAGTGGTTCGCAAGTTTTCGAGAAGGTCGGGTAAGTGTGACAGCCCCCATAATGAAAGACTGGCGACCTCCGTCAGTGACGAAAATATTGAGAAAGTGAATAAATTAATCACGGAAGATCGTCGATTAACTGTGAACATAATAAGCTGGACGATGGGTGCTGCGAGGTACATTGATAATTTGACCAGTTTCATGAAATATCTGCGCAGGGTACGTACAACCCCAGTACGCACAACAAGGTTCATGTTTTTGTTTTGTCCACGACAATGCTCGCCCTCACACAGCCAATATTGTCAAAAAGTTCCTGCTAAAAAAGGGGTAGATGCAAATTGAACATCCTCCATATTCGCCAGATCTCAATCCTCCAGACTTCTTATTCCCACAGATCAAACTCGCTTTGAAAGGAAAGAAATTTGACGATATTTCTGACATCCAACGAAACGTGACGAGGCTTTTGAATTCCATCCCAAAAAAAGACTTCTTGCAAAATTTTCAGGGCATGTATAGCAGATCTCAGCGGTGAATAGTTATGGGAGGTGACTATTTCGAAGGACAGTAAGGTTACTTTCGTTAATATTTCATCTACGTTAATATTACAGGAATATTCACCGAATTTTATAGTCAGAGGTTGTATATAGACAATGTGATATTTGCGTAGTATCCTTATTATTTGTATTTCTCTCTCGCCACACATGTTGGCATTGGTTCCAAAGCTTATTATTCTACGTTATTACAAAGCAATGAGAAAAAATGCATCTGTTTTTGTTTTCTAAGAATTACTTTTCTCAACCTCTCAGTTGTATTTACTGCTTGAAAAGGGTTAAGAAAAATAATATCGTATTTATATATTCGAATCTATGCCACGCTTTTTTCCCAATGTTTTCCAAAATTGGTTGCAACTTAGAACCGAAGGCTGGAAAATTCTTTGAATAGAATTTTGACGGTTAGAGCAGTTGCTGGTTCATGTATGTATTTAAATGTTTTTAATGCTGGTAAAGTATATTAATTATTCACTTATTAGTTCTAATTTAAAATTTTTAATGTCGTTAATATCGAATACTATTTACACTATTTTTTCACAGAAACATTTTGAGAATTTGCGGTGCTGTTTAGATTCGATGGCGGCATAGACACACACATGCACGCATAGATGTTACACATTCAAAACCTATTATCTTATAATTATTTTAAAAGTGACACTACCAATGAGGTATTTTTGTATAAAAAACTGCTGTATAACTTACCAATTTTTTACTTGTTTCAATTTGAGAAATTTCAATTTCATATTCTTCATGTTTAGCCCTTTCATGATTAAGGGAAACATTTTCCCCATTCTAAAATCGATGATTTTTGTATTTAATTATAATTTAATCTACATTTTTTTTTGTGTAAAATGTTAAAAAAGAGCATATGCTGAACGCAATTGCATAAAAGGGAGTTCTGAAGGTATTCGACTGGTTGCGACAACTTTTTTTTTTTAAAAAAAGGAGATATGGGGATTTTTTTGTTATTTTTAGATTTATTTAGTGCATTTTAAGAAAAATGTGCTAAAATTAAGAAGAGAAGAACACATTATTACTAAAATGGGAAAAAATAGGTAAAAATTGACAAAAAATAGCATAAACACGGTCCATTCTGTACCAAAGGTTTATGAACAAATTTTCAATTTTTTCAATCTAATGTTTCAATCTCTATTATTCGTTTTTGAAATGACTTTCAGGATAAGAGATATTTTCTCTTTTACAAAAACTAGAGCACTTTATCCCAGTTATTATATGAAATTGCTTAATAAAACAGTGATTGTATACACATAACGGACTGTAAATTTTGTAATAAAACAGTGATTGATAAATCTGAAGGTTAAAATAATTCTACTATTATACAGAACTTACAGAAAAAATTTCACACCCAGTTAATTATGTTCAAAACCTTTTTTAGCAACCCCCGTTTGATTATTTTCAAAAAATCACATTTCCAGTAAAACGCGTTTTAAAGCATTACATCTTGCTTAAAGTAATGGCATCTTCTTTTACTAAAACACTTGTAGTTTTTGTTCTAGTGAACGTAAAATGATAAACTTGGTATTTTTATAAAGCTAATGAGATGGTCCATAAAATAAAATTATAAAAGAATTTGTCAATTTTTGGCAACATTCACAATTTTAGGGTAGTCGGATACCTTTAGGGGAAAAAATCAATCAGCGCCAACTATAAAACGTTCACGAGTTGTGATCTTATTCTTATTACTTATTTCAGTTTATTGGGCCATATAAAAATTTACTACTGTTTTTTCTCACATGTTTTATACTATTCGGTATGTGTAATTTTATGCAATATGAAGTACATTTGAACAAAAGAAAACAAATTCCTGATAAAACTACCCATTGACCCAAACTGAATTGACCAATTGATCCAAAATACCATATACATTATGTATTTTTCTAATAATTTTTATTTAACTTACATCTGAGCAAACTAAAATAAATAATTACATGCTAATGTTTACTCTTAGCAACCTTATGATCCCCTAAGGGTTATTTTCAAATTGATAAATAAACATTTTAATTTCTGTGAATATATTGTTAAATTTTTCTTCCATAATTGTGAATCCACATCTATAAAGACGAGTGTAAGTTAAGAGGTATTGATCAAAAAGCTAGGGAAAAAACTTTTTAATAAAAATTATCAGTATATAATGCCATACGATTAGTAATATCGGTGTCAAGTTAACGCATGTCTTTGTTGACAATTTCTTAATGGTAATTAAGAAAAATTTTAATTGCTC